TCTCTGGAGCCAGATGCCACAAAAGCCTTCTAGAAATAAAGCAGATATGCAGCTGCTCCCTGATCACACTGGGACAAGCTACCACAATTTTAATTCACCTAAACAAACTGGTTTTTTCATCTCCTGGGGTACAGAGCACCAGGTGCCACCACTGTGCTGCAAGCAGCAGTCAGTGAAAACATGCACTAGTGCCATAGTTGCAGTACCAGGATCCTTATGGGTCCCTTCCAACTCGAGATAAAGAATCATAAACTATCTTTCAGGACCTTTTCCATATGCAACTCTTATTTAGATTTGGAAAAAAAAAACCCAAAACATTTCAAGGCTCAACTACTAAGATGTTCAGCAGCATCTAAATTTGACCATCTAAATGGTCAAAGGTGAAGAGACAGCCACTACTGCCACCCACTCCCCTAAAACACTCCTACTGCAGTCAATCATTATGTGTCTATTAGGCTAGTTGTCTCCTTAACAACATAATTAAAAGTACATTTTTGATTCTTAATTATGCACGTCTTTGCGAATAACATGAATTTTTAGAAAGATGCTCCAAGCCATTTTCTCCCAATTCCACTGTTTACCTGGATTGAAAGCTGTTTCATACTTCTCAGTGTAAAGAGTCTGCATTTGCTAGAAATTGGAAAGCTGGCAAGTTTAAATAAGGGCATAGGAATAACACTGAAGTCAGCAGCAGGATCTTATCCACGGTGCAATTCTACACAGGGAAGAAATCACATTTGCAAAGTTGAAAAGGGGAGCTAAGAATACTCTGTCAGACAGCCCAGGAAGTCAGTGCACTCACCAGCTGAGAAAGCATGTCGAGCAAAAGAAGTTGGTTACTTTGCAGCAAAGAAACCTCTTTTTAATGACAGTTTTAGGGCTGACTTCTGTTGCAGTCTGGATTGATGAGCATTTTTCAGCAGGAGGCTGGAAACTGATTCTGGTTGAATTTATAATGTATGTTATAAATATATTAAAATATCTAAACAGCTTAAAAAATTCATTTTACAGTGCTTTTTTTTGTCATTATAGACAACTTCATAACCATAATACACATTTAGTTGCCAGGAGAAAACAGTTTTGGCAAAAGAACAACCACCAGTTAACATCCTAGAACCCAAAAATTAGGTGCCTGACATACACAACAGAGAGGAAAAAAATATCATTGAAAAGTTGTCAATTTTTCATCCTGAAAATCAGTTCATGCCTATGAGTGATATGCTCATAATAAGTTCTGATTTTTGCAGTAAACTATACCAAAATCTGATGGAATAAACAACTGAGAACAATAATACAGTGACAGTTCAGAGCAATTCCTCACTTACATGATGTTTCTAACCAGAAAAGAATCTCCAACTTCATGCAAAGGACTGTAATGAACAAAACCCACAATTCATCCACAAAGACCAGAATATGGAGGTCACTTTAACTGCATCTGCTTACATCAGCAATAAACTCTTTATTTAAGCTGAAAGTTCACTTACAAAACTGACAAACTTGAAGAATCAAGACATCTGATGACACAGGACACCACAATTTACAGTTTCTCAGACATTCTCCTGATTTCAAGGCCCGTTCTACTTGCAGGAAAGTGGAAAACGTGATTTTGTTGACAGAAGCACAGTTCATACACATGACATGACCACACACCTGCATCACAGCATTCCTTAATAAAGGCAAAAAAACACTTTGTACAAAGTTATTAATTATGTATTCATTTGTAAAGGTAACTCCACTGACTGAACATTTGTTTATAAACACTAGCAGAAGTTTGACAGTTTGCATTTTGACACACCACACCAAAAGAACACTTTTTACTCTTGTCCAAACCAGTACAAAAAGGCAGTACCACAAAGCCGTGGAGTAACCCGAGGACTGATGTTTTTATTAGAGATCTAGAACATTTATTCCAGAGCCTTCTCACCTGCAGTCCAAAATTCAGTAAACCAGCTCCCAGTTCCAAGTTGTTTGTGAGCCAGCTTATTTTGGTTTCACTCACTCAACAGTTGAGCAGCTTATTGTTCCTAAACATTGTTAAGCAGCATAATTTTGCAGACTCATCTGTGGTGTAGTGACCTACTGTCAAAGTAAAGGAAACTAATGCAAGGGTTGTATTTTTACACATGTACACAAACTACCAGAAAAAAGGCAATTTTGTTCACATAAGAAAGGGATATTGTGGCATATCCTGCTAAAATATCATTTGGTGAATTAATCCATCTCAAAATGGAGATGAGTGAACACTGGCAAGATTTTAAATGAAGTTTAGGAACTATTTCCTTGATGCAACATTTAAAAGCCTGAATTACTCACAAATTAAGCTGTTCAGTAAACTCACCTTTGTGCTTTCTTCTTTTATGACAAAAAACACTTCAAGGGACATTCGAGCACCACTATTTTCTCACAGTAGTGTTTGTTTATACACTTCCTAACTGAAGTACAATTCAGATCCCATATTCCATTCACTGCCAGTTAAACCTCTCATTACAGTTCTGAAGAACTGCCACACGGTGGAGGTAGATGCCTACAACTTGGAATGAGAGGCAGAGGTGATGCAGTATCTTCATTTTATGTTAGTGTAAATTAATTACCTAAGTTAATTATCAAATTACTTGCTTTGAAAGCTACTAGAAAGCTAAACTGAGGAGGGGTAGAAGGAAAAAAATAAAGACCATCTCCAAGTTATAAAAGTCTTCAGCAAAAATAAGTTTAAATTGCAGGGTAATTGTCATTGAAACAATACAACAAACCCTTCTACAATTTAAAACCTGTGCAGATCTATATACTAAGAGAATTAGATCCCTGAGTAACATGCTTTTGATCCAGGCAGACAGCAGCAAATATGTATTTTCGAGTTTTATTTTAAACTAAAGCCATAATCCTAAAAACAAAAATGTCATGTGCAGTCTTACAAGAAACCTCATACATCTAAAATCAGAACTCCTTTTCATGAGTGTGTTCTCATCACTGAGGTCCATAACTTTGGCTCCAATGTAAATCCCATCTAGCAGAAGAGAATTCTTCCTTATTGCAAAGTAGCAGATCCTCCATAACAAAGGGGCAGAACTGGATTTTCCAATGCAGTGCTACCCAACAATAGCAGCTGGCCTGGAAAAGGGTTGAAGACTTGAAGACTCTTGCAAGTGTTTCAGAGCTTTTTCATAGATGTACTTCAACAGCCTCTGCCCTTCCACATGTGGCCCCTGGACACCCACATAATAATTATATTACCAGGAACACAAACAGTGGTTTGTGCACTCTGGGACTGTCATTTCTCAGACTGAGCAAGCCCAAATCATTGATAGCAGGGTTTAACTAGTACTCAACACTAAAACAACACATTAAGTCCTACCAGCAGTCTTCACCAGCAGAAGCCACATCATTTCTTAACGATCCTGTCCAGAAGTGCACAGATTTACATGTTCTGAGCTTCCTTCTTCCCCTGTTTACTACATACATCCACTACTCCCAAGTGCTTTTACTCTACAGGAAGCTGCAACAACTGATTACTGTAGTCATTCCTAGAGTTAGGAGAAACAAGAGACTAAGGTAAACAACTCAGTACAGTTTTAAATCTGTAAAATAGATCAGCCAGACTACTGTCCTGGGCTCCAGCTCCTTCCTTATGTACTTAGCTTCAGACTTACTTGGTCCAAGTTCAACATAATCACTTCACTACACCAAATCCAGCACATATCACAACTCTCCAGCACACCAGAAATGTATTCTGCCAAGCAACTAGCAAAACAAGAATTTAGCTGAACTCCCTTTATTTTTCTCCAGTCATATGCATGGCAAATATTTTTTGCCAAGGAAAAAGCCAGATGTATTTTGAGAAAACATGTTCAGGTTTTAAGTCTGAGTAGTTCCCTTTGATCAAATGCAAATGGACAAGTAGTAACCAATATTCTAAAAGCATAAGCCAGCAAAATCCATCAAATGCATCTCAAAAAATCTCTGCATCTGCCTGCAGGTAGGTTCCTTCTAAAGCGTTCAGTGAAGAACAAAGTGCCCCGAGGTAGAAACCTTACTTCTCACTAAGTGCTTTGGGGATTTTAGTCAGGACCATCTCTAGCCTAGTCCTGTAAACTGGATGCCCATCAGCACCTGAGGGACATCAGGCATGCTGCTGGACTAATCTTGCAATCTAATTTTATCAGAGGAATGCAGCTGAAGAACTTTGAGACCACACTGCAGTGTGAAGCAAAGCGTGGAAAGGGGTGTAATTGGATTCACCTGACCAACACACCACTGACCCAAACTAAAAGGCTGATGTTGACCACACTAACACAGCCACAAAGTTATTAAAGGAATAGTAGTTTCCCAAGTATTATGAAAAAGAAATTGTCCTCTTCCCAGATGAATGAGACTATGAGCCTAAATGACACACGTGATTACTTGAGAGGCTCATCTCCAAAACTTCCAGAGGGAAAGTTCAATTCTAAAAGTAAAAATAATTCAGCCAAACCAACACCTTAAGAGAAAATTTCTTAGAAAAGTCTTGAAATGAAAGCAGCTGTGGTCACCAAACATTGCATTTTCCTATTTAGCTACTTCAACTCAATGTTTTCTAGTTTAGAATGCTACAGTTTGTTACCTGTTAAGTGCACACTGCTATAAAATACCCACAGAGACAACATTTAACCACTAGCTAGTTTGAAATCCAGTTTTTACTGCTTTGTAAAAATCAGCAGCACCTCCTCTGCTGATAACACTTCAATAAACATTAGACAGCATCATATTTAATAGTTAAGAGCACTGCAGATAGTTTTTCCTAACAGAACTCATACTTGTTTAAAAACCAACCAAAGGAAAAAACTTCACTTGATCTTTATTAATAAAAAAAAAAAAAAGAGTTCAAAGGCTGCTATGACATTTAGAACAGTATGCCAGAGATAATTATAAAACAGCAATGAATCTTAATTTTAAAAAAATAAAATGACACATACTAAGAACAGCCCCTGTCCCTGGGAGCCAGCTGTGCATAGTTTTCTTCCTGCAAGTAGCCCATAGTCCCTCCAGAGGGGAAAAAAATAAAAAATTAAAGGCATCAGTAAAGGTAGCTGCCATTTTAAGCACTTCCAACTTACTGGGAAATAACTCACAGAAAGTAATTATAGAGAAGTCAGCGCTGACATATTTTCTACAATCATGCAATTGGAGCACAAATGGGAATAAAGCACTTTTATTTACACTTAACTCAGTTTGCAAACCCAGGTGTACATTGCCATCATTTAAAGTGCAAGCTACATGTCTGCTGAATTAACTGAAGGCATAACAGGCGCTGTGGGAGATAAAACACCACCTGTAGTTATACAACTAACCACGGATCCAGCTCCAGCCCTGACCAGCTGAGTGTGTTCCTGCCTCCGGGATATTACCAGCCAAACACATATTCCATTGCTTTGGATACAATACTTTCATCTTTCCTAGGAGTCTGTCTGTCAGAAACCACCTACAGTGGAAGGGAGAAAAAAGAAGAGAGAAAATAGTCAGTCAGTACAGCTAATTCTTTTTACACTAACCCATTTTTATTTCTTTTCCTAAGGACTACTGTATTTTGACAAAATATGTTTGAAATCGTTTCAAAACAAGCCCTTAATCCCTGTAAAAGTGACAAACAATTAATTTATTATTATTGTTATTATTATTATTATTATTATTATTATTTTAGAGACTGAACAGACTGAAGCACATCTTTAAAGAAATGACAGCAAAAGATAAAAGCTAAGGTCACGCTGAAGTTAATTGTCTGTACAGCCTCACACAACCAAGGGGAGACAGCACAAAAACACATGCTTCTTTTTCCCTTAAAATACCTGATAGTCACTAGTGGAAGCTTTATATGCTGTTGCAAGAGGTCTCATTGTAGAAATCCTTGTAGTATTATTTGCAAGTTGTATTGGTGTGCCAGTAGATTTTGTAGGTGGAGTGAAAACCGAAGACATTGAGGATGTAGAGCTTCTTTCAGAGTTTTCCATCACACTCTTAAAAAGAGGGTTAATACAATGTAAACAAATACTAAAAAGCAGTATTCCAACCTTATCTAAAATTGTCTACTATCTAAAATTGTTTGATAAAATGTATTCATACCCCAAAGATAAATGGCCTGTCAGTAAAGAGCACACAGGTACAGACCACCACCAAGCATTTTCCTCACTGCAATCATTCACATGTTGGATTATGCCATTGCAAAGTAGTGAAAGCTTGGAATCTGTTCACAGTCTGTATTAAACCTCAACCAAGTTTGAAACAGTGTAGAGAAGATATATTGTACTAATTGCAACAAACTTCAAGTAGTAACTTGTTTCAGGCCCAGTAGAACAAAGTAGTATAACACTCCCTTTCTAAATACTTCTAAAATATTTGACCTGATCCAGACAAAACTGTCTTCAAGTCTTTAGCAACTCTCACCTTTTGCTCAGACTCAGCTTGCCAAAGAGTTTCATTCACTGCCTTTAGCAGATGCCAGAAAAGAAGTCAGAAGGCTCCATTTTGTAAGCTTTTGTTTGGAAAGGAATGCATGTAAAATCAAAGAGGCATCAAGTGACTTGATGGGCACCACGAGTTCCACCAGAACCCAGAGGATACATGGTGGGAAATAACAACTAGCCTGGGGGGGCAAATTTTCAGTTCAATGTACTAATATAAACTCAAAAGCCAGAAACACATGAATAGTCACATTAAAAAGAGAGGGACAATGAGGAGGGGCAGCAACAGTCTTAATCTGCCCTCACTTATATGTTGCAGCCTCTGAGTGCCATAAATTCCAGTTGGGAAACTTGTCTCAGTTGCCTCACGTTACAGTTTCATTTCACTACCTTCAACAGCAGTATAATTCTGTGCACTGCAACTTCCAAGGAGCAGAGACTGCCCACAATGATCCTCCTCAGCAGGAAATGTTGAGAAATACTTAAGACCTCGTGTAATGTGTAACATTCTATACCTACACAGCTACATATGCTCTGCAATTCCAAAAGAAAAAAAAATAAAGAGGTCAGGGGAAAAAAAAAACAAAAAGGAAGATCAAAAGAAGGGTGCCTTATATTTAACTAAAAGCAGCTCTTAACTTACTTTATCTATACAGGGCTTGACACCAATCATGATGGATTCACCAAAAATTCTTCCATCTTTGCTCAAGGCTTTCCGGGCTTGAAGCTTAGACTGATATCGAATGTGCATCCAGTTTCCTGTGTTGGACATCTGCAGGAGATGAGGTGAAAATTGTGAAATGCAGCTTCTTAAATACATAAGTCCCAATGTTTTCAGAAATAAGTGTCAAACTAAGACATACCACGTGCTTTAATATGTTTCCATATTGAGCAAACTGTAGAAGAATGTAGGAAGCTGATGCTTGAGGAAATCTGAAGGACAGAAAAAATGTAAAAAAAAAATAAAATTACTAGTAGTTTAAGAATTCAGGTGCTAAAATACAATCCTGTGAAGGGTTTATAGAAATCCAGAAGAGAGCAGTGTGAAACCAATTTAGAAGCAGCAACTTGAGGAATACTACCTTCTAGGCACTTTTACTTCACCACACACCTCCATGGCAGAATGGTGCCTTTCTAACTTGAAAAAAAAAATAACATTCAGCTTAAGTTAAGGTGACTCACTAAAAACTATGTTTGCTTGCTTTAACCACAGTTGTATTTCCTGCACACCTACGAATACCAGACAAGAGCAGTGCCCAAGTATTTCCCTTCACATGTCATGAAGACTTCACCCAGGTTTTTCTAACAGTCTGGAAATCAGCTTACCCAAATACAGTTACCCATGTGTCATCAAGCTGATCTTCTGAAGTAAGGGAATCACCTTGAGTATAAAAAGGATCTAGCTGAGCAGGAGACAGAGTAGTTTTCCTAGGCTGCCCAATACTTGCAGGACTGAACACGCTTGAAGCTGTTAAATTAAAATGGCATCGTTGAACGGATTTCTTTTGCAAAACAGAGAAGCTTAAAAGCCTAGAATAAAAGAATAAATTCAGTATCGAGCATTTCACTTGTATGTGGAGGAGTCTGAGGGAGATTTACTCACAGACACAGACAAAAAGTAAGTCAATCCAAACTTCATATCCACAAGGGTGCTACTAAGTCTCATGACTGAATCAAGATCAGAAACCTTATGAAGATGGAAGGCAACCCATCAATCTCAGCTGCTTCACTCGAGTACAACCACCTCTGTGCTCAGTTCAACAACACTTTTTGAAGAAGGAATAAGTAAAGTTGATCAAAAAATTCAGTGTCAGAATGGATAATTATTTCCTACTCATACACCTTCTGAAAAGCTAATAAATGCACAGTTCCTTTGCAAATTAGTAAGGAATTGATGTAGTTTCAACAGTGATGACTCTTCTGTATTAAGGACAGCAATAAGAAAGCAGATTATATCTTTTTACAGGACATCTACCTGTGCCTGGAGTTGATGGCAGAATTCCAACTGATGGGCTCTGTGTTAAGGAGAAGTTGGCCTGCATTGAAACACAGAAAGTAAATCATTCTTACAGGTATACACTGCTCAGATCAAAAGAGATCATCTTCAGGTGATTTAAGCATCAGGTAAGAATATTAACTGTTACCTTAACTTACTCCTAGTTTTTAAGAGTAAGAACATGTATATTTAATACAAGATTATTAAGAGTTACTAATGAAAAGTTATTTGTACTTAAATGTACTTGACATATGTTTTGTGAAGCAAAGTATCAGTACTCAGAAACCTTACAGTTTAGCTTTTTCAAAATAGTCATCTCACTTATTGCTGCAGTACAGTAATTCACACATCCATGTGATGGGAATCCTGATGGGAAGAATGTCAGCATCCTAAGGCACCAGCATCTAATTCTCACTTCCTAAAGGGTTCAGAAATCATGGGATCACTTGTATTCCTCACTACTAGACTCACTTTCCTGCTCAACTATTTAGTGCAACTGCACTGAAGGGAAGTATACTTCAAGTTTTAGCTGTTAGTACTTTTTTTCTTTTTAACACAGGATTTCAACATCCAAAACAATTTTAGTGTATTTTTAACCTGAATCATGGCATTTCTTCGATACAAGCCCAGCCAAGCTGGAGTGCCTGCAGACATGGCAACACGTGTTCTGACAGCTGTTCAATACCTTTTTCTTAATTTAACTTCCAGCCTTTTAAGACACTGTTGGATTCTGTCTGCCACAGGGAACCTCAGCTTCCAGAACAAACTCTTCAGAAGGCAACATTCAATAGAGAGACTGCTCATTCAGTGAAAAGCATTCTCCTTGCATCAGAAGGATCATGTCCAACGAAAAAGAACATAATAATGCTTGGCTACTCACTTAAGTAGCAGAGCTTATTATAAAAAAATTACCCTGTAGAAATTTTAGTGTTCCTCTTTCAAAATTAACCCCACCTTCCTACCCAAATTTTGATTAGATATTTTACTCAGAAAAAAATTCCTTCTATTTCAGGAAGTGCCTCTATTGCCCACCAAAAGATAATCAGAGAAACATAGAATTGTCTGGCTTGGAAAAGACCTCTAAGATCGAGTCCACTAACACAGCACTGCCATCTTCACCACTGAACCATGTCCCCACATGCCACATCTTTTTGAACACTTCCTGGGATGCTGATTCCAACACTTCCCTGGGCAGCCTCTTCCAACACCTGACAGCCCTTTCAGTGAAGAAATTTTTCCTGCTATCCAATCTAAACATCTTCTGCTGCAACTCGAGGCCATTTCCTCTTCTCCTATCATTTGTTACACCTGGAAGAAGAGACCAACCCCCATCTGCCTACAACTTGCAGGGAGCAAAAGGGCCTTTGTGGCAATCAATAAATCTACAAGCAGGTGAAAATCTGCAACAAGTCTGCATTTGTACATACAAAGCACAACTGAGGCATGACTTGCATTTCTCACTCTCTACTGTAATGATAGGAGTTTGCTTCAGGACAGCAGCAGGCACACCAACCACCCAGAGCCAGCAGCAGCACGAGCAGAAGGCTCACCCATCAGTTTGCTACAGCAGTTTACAAACCCAGGTTGAAGAATTCACCGAGGCAGGAAGCTGCCCCACATCTTCTGCTAAGAACAGGCCAGTACCAGAGACACTTACTGGTCTTCCTGAGGTTAGAGGTGTTGATCCAAGCCCAGGACTAGACAACTCATCATAAATGCTCCTGACAGGTGGAGCACCACCTTTATCTTTATGTGTGGGGACCACTGGTTGTGGGGGAGATCCTCCTGCAATGCAAAGGGACAAAGGAAGAGCATGAGCAGACTTGCCACTGTACTCCACTGGGGCTTGGTTTTGAGTCTTCAGTGGTAAATTCAGCCATGAAAAAAGCTGTTGGTTGTTTCACTGGGCATTTGCAAGACCATCTGTTCAGGTTTGAATGGTGTACATAACACAGTGTCACATGTGTTAAACTGTATCCTTACAGAAGTACCATCTAAAACTTTTAGACCTCTTCTTAACCCTTCATACTCTCTGTTAACGTGCACTTGTTCTTTTTCTGAAGTTCTGAGCAGACCTCTAGCTACAATGAGCATACAATAGCTACACCTTCCTATTTTAAGGCAGGTTAGCAGTGTATTTTAATTGTTTCAGACACTAACTAGCCTGTAGAGTAGAGATGCAAAAGCAAGACTTTTAAGACTTGAGACGTACTACATGCTAAAGAACCATACCAAAATGCACACAGATGTATTCCATGTGATTGTTACATTCCCACTGCCTAAATTCCTTGGCTTCCCATCTCATTTCACATTAAATAAAAATGTAAGCAAGCTCTTGATAGCAGGGACTAGCTCGCTTTTAGACAGGATGAAGTGAAGCCAGCTTCCCTCTCACAAACTTTGGGACTTCCAGTATAACAGAGAATTAAACTGACTGAGAGACCTTGAGGTATCTCTAAGCACTTTGTGTGGGTTTACCTCAGGAAAAAAACCCCAGTTAACAGTTTTCACTTGCAAAACATTTAGAAACTAAGCTTTTCCACAGTACTTTTCAATCCTAAAATTCTGAGCTTCATGACTCCACTCTGAAGTGTTTAACACATACAAGAACTGCTCCTGTTATATGCAATAACTGTATATTATATAAAGCACTCTCCCATCAAGGTTTTCAGTTTTAGTGATGTATTTAATCACTCATTTTGGTAAGGCTGTTTTAGTACCTTACTGTTTCCTCCTTTACTAAAATTGATACTTTGAGACTGTGATAAAGCCTTTTAAAATCAGTTGGGTGAAATTCCCATCACTACTTCCAATGTCATAAATATTTCCCTAAGAGGTTTGTACTTGATGGGGTCAGGAAAGGCAGACAACAGCAAGAAGTAGGAGATCAACAGACCAACAATCACAGAACATGTTAAGTTGGAAGGGACCCAGAAGGATCATCGAATCCAATCCTGCCTGAGATTCAAAGAAGAGAATATCTAAAATTCTCTTGCAGTGCCTTAATCCTCAGTTTCTCCTTCAAGATGACTATTAACACCATCAGATATTAAATTATGCCAACTGATTTAGTAAAAAAGCCAAGATCAGCCATGATGTGCTAACTACTCACTCATACTTCTCAGAGAAGAACACAGACACAATAATACCAACTTAAAACCATGGGTAAGAGCTCTTCCCAGTCTAATCAATCAGGTCACAGAAAAGAAATGAGTATCTACAGCTAGGAAGAGTCAGTGCTACTTCAGTTCAATGACAGCAGACATCAAGACTAACTACAACCACTAGATATTAATTAAGAAGCATTTTTTTAGTTTCTCTCCTCTCAGTTTTTACAAGTCTGACAATCCATGACATTTTAGAATTGACTGCATAGAAACCAGCAGTTTGCACGTGCTGCACTTAATTTGCCAGCAGACATCTGTTTTAAATAAAGAGAAAACTCTAATGGCTATATGTGCAATTGACTGGTAAAGAGGTGTATAAATTGATTCTGTATTAGCAGAGATTTATATTAACTTCCCAGTAAAACAAAGTTTTCCTGGTACCAAAACTGCCATTTTTAAAACAGCTATTAAACTGAAGACTAGTTTGAAGAATTTAGCCAAACTCCATTGAATACACTCGACTTCACCAGTTATTCAATCAGTGGAATTTGTTTATAGCAAGCTATAAAACTTGCTATAAGGATTCAAGTCTGCAACAGTCAAGCAGAATGACGAGACAAAGCAATTTGTTACTTTCAGGACAATTTTCCAGCATTTTCAGAGTCCTGACCTGCAAGTAGCGGAGACCTCGTTTCCATTACTCCGACTGAAGGGCCGCACAAAGCACGTGGCTGTGGAGTCACCGGTGCAGGTAAGTCACCCATCAAAAACCCGGGAAGGAACTGAGCACCAGCTCCTTGTTTGGGAGACGTCGGGGAGCCGAGAGTCATTGGCTCAGCTCCTGAAAACAAAACGTAAAACCAGGGAAAAGAAAAGTGATCTAGCGTTTTTTTCCAACGCTTTGATTGTGGTTCTGTCAAAGAAATGTAACACGAGATACAGCAAGTGATTAAGATCACGGATTGGAAGGGGCCTCTGGAGATCACCCAGGGCAGGGTCACCTGGAGCAGGTGACACAGGGACATGCCCAGGTGAGTTTGGAATGCCTCCAGAGACAGAGACTCCAAGACCTCCCCGGACAGCCTGTTCCAGTGTCTTCCCACCCGCAATGGAAAGAAGTTCTTCCTCACGTCGAGGTGGAACTCCTTGTGTTTTAGTTTATGGCCATTGCTCCTC